CCGGGGGGAGGCCCAGGAGCTCTGGTGAGGCTGGCGTGGCGGGGCCTTGGGGGTCCAGCTGTGGGGCCGCTGGGGTGGGGGTGCCAGGGTGCTGGCTGTGCCTGGCGGCTGCTGGGATCATGACCAGAGAGCCAGAGCCTGGTGTCAGCTAACCCTGTGGGTTCGAATCTTGGTTCTGCCAGTTAGAAGCTGCCTGTCTGGGGCCTCGCTTTCACGTCCGTGGTGCGGGTATATGGAGACCCCGACGTGTTCATGGAGACAGTGCTTGTGGGGGACGGGGCAGGAGTGACCAGGTTGTCCCTCTCTCTGCCACCCGCGTTCCTCACACTGCACCGACAGTGAGGCGTGGAGTCAGGCTTCTCTCTCCATCCCCAACATCTTCTCACCAACGTGAAATCCACGTGGAGTTGACCCCAGCACTCCCGCCATTTTTAAAGAGACCGGGCACCTGCGCTGGCGTGATTTTATTCACACCTTGGCCTACGGCCCACACAGACCTGCGATGCTGTGTTTACCACCACGTCGTGTTCTGGAACCCGAAGACCCACTTAGGGGCCCTGTGCAGTCCTCTGGGCTGTCCGCTATTGCAGACACCCTCCGGGGGGCATCTCACACGCACGCCCATACGCCTGCGTTCGACACAGCTTCCGAATCCGGTTTCCTGCTTCCAGAACAGCCCTGCGTTTCTCCCACTTTGGCGGGGCGGAGCCTTGGCGACCTGCGCTGCCATCCTGGTAGCCAGGGAGGCCCGCGCACTGCCTTACCTCAGGCTCCCTCTGTTCCCACCCGCGCCCACACCTGCTGGTGCCCTGGGAGGACGCGGACGGAGGCGGAGATCACCAGGAAGTTCCGGGAGGCGCTGGCCCAGGAGAAAGCCCGGATCCTGGCCCACAAGTGGAGGCTGGAGGCAGAAGACCGCGGGGCCACCAAAGCCCTGGAGGGGCGCATCCGCGAGGAGTTCAAGGTGGGCCCGGCAGGCGCCTGCTCTCGTCCCTGAGGCCGCTGGGCTCCCCTCTGCCCTGGGCCTGCTGGCCCTGCCCCTTGGGCAGAGGGCAGGAGCCCCGCCACCACAGGGCAGTCCGCACCGCACAGATGCACGGGGTCAGACGGGGGAGACTCTGCCAAGGCCGTCGGGGCAGTGGTGGAGACAGAGTCAGGGCCAGGACCCGGGTCCTGGCTGAGGCCCAGGTCACTGGTTTCCGGTCAGACCGGCCTGAGCCCCGGTTCCAGCACACTGCTAGCTGTGCTCCCTTGAGAAGCATCCTGGGCGCCTCTGGGCCTGCGTTTACCTGTCCAAGTGGGGCAAGAGCCATACGCTGCTCGCGCTGGTGAGGGTCCAGGAGTGGCCTGGGAGGGGTGGGCTCCTGCTCACCTCGCGGATCTGCTCATGGGGAGCTCAGAGCTGGCCAAGGGGAGTTATTGTCCTCTGGCCGGGAGCTCAGGCCGCCTGCAGACTCCTTTCCTAGCCCCCATTTTGAGATTTTTTTTTTTTTTTTGTTACGGGAATAATTCATTTGGAGGGGGTAGGAAGTAAATAAGGAGCAGAGGAGCCCAAAGAAGAAAATAGTAGCCATAACCACCAGGCCGAATTCTGGCACTGCTGTGTCGTGACTGACGTGGACGACAAGCACGGCTGGACCTTTCAGAGCAGCAAGAGCAGGTGTCCAGTGCCTGGGGACGGCTGGGGGGCAGAGCCCTTCCAATCCGGGCAGAGGTCTGGATGTTTCAGGGGCAAGTGGGGCGAGGGAGAGCAGGGCCTCGGTGGAGACGTGAAAGGTGTCAGAGTGGTGGCACGTGAGCGCGTTTAGGCCGCGGTGTCTGCTGGGAGGCAGTTACTGCAGGTGGAGCGCTGTCCTCCCAGAGGCCACGGTACAGGGCCTGACCTTCCTGGTCGCCACGTCTCAGAGGCGACACCTCCGAGCTGCAGGGGACACACACCCAGCTGTAGCCTTGGGTGGACGCTCTGAAGCAGGGTGCCAAGGCCTGTATTCAGTTGCTGCCGGCACGTATGGGTACACGGTTACACCGAGCTTCCTCGGGCAGGCCTTCATTGATTTGGACTCTCTCCAGGGGGTGCGGGAGGGCAGTGCCTGCACAGGGCCTCGCGTGCCCGACGCCACGGTCCCTTGTCCTCTACTTCTCCGCCTCGTCGGGACGTGGGCAGGCACTCACATGTGCGTGGCGTGGTTCTCAAGCCGCGGGGCCCAGGACGTGAGGCAGACAGCCAGCCCTGTGGGACCCAGCTCCCTCAGCAATGAGGCTACGGGGCCGGCCGCGAGTCGTTGTTAAAGGACATTCTTTCGCATTAAGTGAAGCAGTATTTTCTCCCAAATATCTTATTATTTAAAAAGGTTCTTAAAAACTGCTGTAGGGCATGGACACTTGCCGGACAGAGAGCACCAGCCCCGGGACTGGCTTGCTGCAGCCCCTGCCCTCCGTTCTCTCAGGAGCTGGGGACGCTGCACTGCACCGGGAGTGTTTCTGGGCCACTGGGCTGGGTTCGAACCCCAGCTGGCCGTGTGGGATCCAGCCCCTCTAACCACTGAGGTCCAGCCTGGCCCAGCGCGTGTAAGGGCTCCCTGAGAGACGGAGAGAGCGGGAGGGGAGAAAGCACACAGGGATGGCCACACCACAACCCTGTCTCCTCTCCCGCTTCTCCCTCCTTTCAGGATTTTGGGCAGACACACACACACTTGGTGTTTTCCTCAAGCCAGTGGGTCTGGGAGTCAAGCTGAGATCAGCCGTACAGTGTCCACGGAGACGTCCCCGTTTATATTTTTAAAATTAAAAAATTGACCACCGAATTAGGAAAAGTCTTCGATCTAAGCTACTTCAAAGGACGAACACCTTGCTGTTTTAAATATGAGGGACAGAAGGTTCATTTGCCCCCCAGTCCCTCCACTCAGTCCCAAAGAACTGGGTGTTAGAGACCACGGGGCGGGCGTGGAGAGGGGAGCCGGCCGGCACCAGACTACCCGGGAGGCAGTGCTGCCGGGCGGTGGGGCGGGAGGCTCAGCCCGGGGCCTTCTGCAGGTCCAGGCTGTGGGGGCAGCAGACCTGCAGAGGGTGGGGCTGGCCGTAGCGTCCACCCGTCCATCCATGTACCGTCCACGTGGAGCGCTGAGTCCACTCGCCCTGTCTCCCCAACCAGGGAGGCAGGAGGGGAAAGAGACGGCGAGGCTCAGGGAGTGAGGGGAGCAGAGGGAGGGAAGAGGTTAAGGAAGGGTCAGCCTCTGGGCAGACGCAGCCAGGTCGCCCGAGTTCTGACTGGCAGACACGGCCCTGTGGGCCTTCCTCCAGTGAACCTGTTCTGGTGTCTGGTCTCCTGTGACCTCGCGACAGAAACCCTGCAAGGTCCACCCAGGCTGCCCTCCTGAGGCTGAGCCCTGACACTGGGCCCCGAGTGTGCGTCCTGGAGGTCACTGGGCCACCTGGCCCGCCCCTGCACCAAGGAGGGGACAGTGCCAGCTCAGGCCGGACCTGGGCGCTGACCTGGACAGCGTTGCTGCCCAGTCCTGGGACGGCTTCTGGCCATCTTGGGAGTAGGCGGTGACACGAGGTGGGGACTCACAGATGCACTTCAGAGCACGATGCCTGTGAAGCGTGGGGTCCGGGCCACCTGGCCACCTGGCCACCTGGTTGTCCTGCTGGCCACACCCCAGGGGCCTCTGGAGTGAAGGGGGCCAGCACCACTAGGAGGGACCTCGGATACTCACGCCTGATCTCTCAGTGAGTCGGGCCCCCATCCAGTCCCAGCTGCCCGAGTGAAGCCCACGTCCCAGCCCAGGTCCCGCCACATACACCGGCCGCTGCCAGGCTTTCTCCTCCTTGAGTATGAGCAGACCGCGGGCACAGACTCAGGACCGCCTCCCAGGGACAGGGCGACTTGGGCACGCTTGAAACACAGACACACACAGCATACAACATGTGGACACGTAATCACACACACATACATGCATAATACAGGTACACATGCAAACACCCATAGACACAGATACACACAAACACACAGCACACACAAACACACAACACAGACATACAGCACACAACATGTGGACACATAAGCACACACACAAACACACATGCTTACATGCACACATACAGGTACACATGAAAACACCTGTAGACACAGATACACAGACACAGACACAGCACACACAAACACACAACACAGAAACATAAGCACACATGTGCACACATACACAGAGACACATGTACTAACACATGCACACGCACACATACACACATGGGAAATAGACCTAACTCAGAGTCGGGGCAGGAAGGGCTTTCAGGTGCCCAGAAGGAGGAGCGTCACGGCAGACCCGTGAAGAGCAGGGACCACACAGTAAGGAAGCGAGCGTGAGTGCCAGGCGCCGGAGCAGAGCATGGCTGGGCAGTGGGAGATGTGGGGGTGAGGTCAAGCGGGAAGTGGATGGCGGGTGGGGGGAGACGAGAGAGGAGGAGCCCGCGGATGGACTGGGGTTCCTCGAGGAAGAGCATGGGGGAGGCACAGTGGCAGAGAGCCTGGGCAGGCGTGTGGCACCAGAAGGGCCTGTGGAGAGCGCGTGTGTGCGCAGCACGGGAAGGCAGAGGTTGCCCCAGGCTCTCCGTGTGGAAGGGCCGACGTCCGAGAGGAAAAGCAGCGCCTCGTGAGGCTCAGGACGCCAAAGGCAAGGAGGAGAACCTTCAAAGTTCTGCGCAAGGACTTTTGAATCCAGCGTCCCTGCTTAGCAGGTGTCCTGGGCAGAGTACCAGGGAGGTGCAGGGAGTCTTCAACAAGTTTATGGGAAACGCCTGTTACGAAAAACCTGCGTAGATTTCATATTACCCTATTTGATAGAACTTAAAATTGTAAAAAACATATAATTATTTTAAGAAAAAAAGGTGCCTATTAAAAATGCAAGTTGTGATCAGCAAGACACATGGAAACTTCAGGGCGGGTAGTCAGACCTTAGCCCCCAGGGCCGGTGTGAGAGCACCTTTGTGGCTCCTGCGGCGGTCCTGGGACAAGCGTGCGGGTGTGCTGCCATGACGAGAGGAAGCACAGCGTGCACTGGCTCTGGGAAGTGTGCACTCGGCGCGGACGAGAAGGGCTTCAGTGTGTAGGACTGCAGGCCAAGGACTAGCAGAGCCTGAGGAGGGGCTGTGACACAGGACGGGACAGCTGGGATGGTGGGAAATGGGCCCGAGCCTCGGCGGGTGGCTGGGCTGGGGCGAAGTGGCCGATAACAGCTATTTCACGACACGCCCTTGGCCTATAATGTGTGTTTAATGTGCACACGTTCACAACAGGTGCACACACACACGCACACGGGCCTTTTAGCACTTGGAAGGGGGACAGAAACGGGCTGGTTAGGGCTCCCGGGCCTCCTGTTCCTGGGACGTTTCTTACCCAGACAGGACACAGTCGTTTCCTGCTCATCGGCTCCCAGGAATCCAGGCGGCCTCCTTAGACGGCACGCTCTTC